TTTTTGATCAAACCCGATGTAAACAGGTTGCTTCCAATTTGAAAAAAGAAGGTTATTATTGCAACCATACACAGCACACCTAGTACTCAGCATTTTGTTCTTCACCTAACATAAAAATATAGCTTTAAATATTTAATGACTTATATTTAAATCATCTTACCTTATAAAAAACTTAGTCAAATAAAACAATTACAGAAATATTAAAATAAATCACTTCGTTAATCACAAAATTGGACGAATATTAAAAGCGAAAACTAAACACTTGCACATCCTGCTCTATGTAAACAGAGAGGTCAGGACTCGTGCTGACGTCACTAACTTGGCATTCCTGGCTAACATTGTAGAATAGGGATCTGGCTATCCTTGTAGTATATAGTCCGTGGTGGCAGCCTATTGCTCTAGGCCGCCTGGTGGCACCACCCGGCCGCCCCATTTGTGGGTCTGGCCGAACCCACAATGGTTAAAAAATACCCCGTGCTGCGCATTATTCCTTAGTATAATTAAGGGGCAATGATCGAGGATATGCGTTACGTATGTGCGCGTATTCTCGATCACGCGCACATACCTAGCGATATCGTATGTGGTCAGTAGAGGGCCTCTTTTAGCAAGCCATTATGGGTTCGTCCAGGTGTGAGAAACGGCACCCAACATATCCGGACGGACCACCCCCGAAAAATTCCTGGGAATTTTCGATCCGTCCAGATTCGATCCCGGGTCCCCATAGAGGAATGTTGCCACCCATCCGGCCATCAGATATAAGAATGATGACATGTTTTCATTAATAACTAATAAGAATTTTTTATTAGTTATTAATATATATTTCTGTAATTAAATATATTTTAATAATAGTATAGCTTCTTTGAAATATACGCAATAATTATTATTACAGTATTTTAAATTAAAAAACAAGAACTGGCAACACATCACCGGTTATTGCGTCATGAATCAAGATGTCTGCTTTCGGTAGAACGTGGAGGAAGATGAGTTTTTCCAAAAAATGCTTTATTTGGGTAAGATTTTCATGATATGGACAATTTTATATAGTGTATTCAAATAGAAGTAATTAAACAGTAAGTTGGTAAAGTATAGATGAATGTTAAATGATGGCAAAGGGAACGAATGTACTGCTGTACAGTACATATGTATCATTGCATCAGTCATTTTCAAAATCTCATTCATAATGTTAGATTGATAATTTTTTAATCTGAGGATAAAATATGATCGTATTTAATACATACCAATATTTTGCTTCAGTCTAACCATATTTTATTTTATAAACTTTTATAAAAGTAGTAACCATAATAATGAAGCCACTCTTTTTAATTCTATATGCTATCAGTTAATTATTTTCCTCTTTTATCATAATAATTTTGATTGTGATTATCTTAGGGAACTTCTTCCTAGCTGAGTAACAACAGAATTAAATATCTTAAATTGATTATCATGTAATTGATATTTAAATTATTTTTAAAAGTTCCATGAATCAAAACAGAAATGTATAATTTATAAATTTTGTATAGATTTTTGTATTTGCAGCGTATGAAGTATTATTGGTAATTCGTGATTCTATCGTTTTGATTAAATGTACGAGGATTGGCAATAATGAATTTTTATGTTGGGAACAATAACAGATTTTGCTTAATATCTATGTGTTATTTTATTGTAATGACCGATGATAAGTTTAATCTGTTATTTTTGTTGAGTCTAGTTGCCCGTCAGTGGCCAACGTTTGTGCTTTGCTATGTGGAGTTTTTTGGGTTTTCTTTGATGTCTAACGTTGTAAACAGGAGCTAGTTTTTCACGAAAGTTCTCCCGGGAGACAATGTGAGTTTGTTTTTTTGTTATAAGTTTATTGTCATACCTTGAAAATTGTTTATTCATTCCTAAGAGTGTATTCATCTCGCTTAGATTATCACTGTTTTGGTGACATTTATTATAATTCTGAAAAAATAAACTGAAGGAATTGGCATATTTTAGATACATTTTTTGTATGTCAAAACTCTGCAGTTGGTGAAAATGACAAAACACAACCAGGTCATTCTAAAATTTAGTTATATTAATAATAAATATAATAATATATTTTACATGTGTGTAAATAGCGATAATAAAAATTTCTTTAATGTTTTTCATTTGTTTTTGCTATATTGAAGACCCATTTAAACATTTTTCATATGATTTTATATGAATTTATGATTCCACATTATGTAGATTCACTTAAAGTGGTAACTTTTTAGTCCTAATTAGCAGCATTAAACGAGGACCCACTGTATATTGATTCTAAATTTCAAGAGTTAATTTTTAAGTAAAAACTAATTGTTTTTAATTAATTGTTAGAGTTAAATAAATTTTATTATGTATGGTCTTTTTATACATATCAATTCTTCACAAGCTTTTATTATTCATTTCTTGCTTGTCCATCTTGTTTGCAGTTGCTCTTGATAAATACAATTGCAGAGTAAGAAGTTTTCAGCTAACTGGCTGTTAGCTATCTGCTGAGTCAAAGTAATTTCTATAAAAACCTTAACATATTTAGGTTTATTACAAGGTTAAATTTATTCCACAGATAGTTGTTCTGTTGTTTAAATAGTAACTCATTCAACTGGTCCTAAAAATTATATTGAATCAATCTTAAAGTCAACTGTTATGAAATAGTGGAATTTTCTAACATTAATATTGAGATAAAAATTTAAAATACAGTTCATTAACATCAAGGCAAATTACCTGTTTGGAATAAACATCAGTTAAAATTAATAGATATTTGATTTTCATTGAAACTATGAAATTAATGTTTAGTATATATTTCTTAGTTGGTTTGTATAAAATGAAAGATTTCTTCAAGAAAGGAAATTGGTACATGCAGCAGTTACAAAAGAAATATATGGCTTCAATTTCCATGAATTTGAAGCTATCATATGCTAGCTATATCTTGTATATCAGCTAATTGTTATTAACATTTCTGTAAACTATATACTATATTTGATTACAGTAATACAATAATATACAATTGTTCCTTGTCTTTGAATCCTATTACATCTACTAAAGCAAGAAATTTGAAAGTTTTTGTAATAATGTGCAGATTATTATTATTATTTTTTATAGTTCTTAATCATAGTTAATAAAATATTTTAACGAATAAACAAAATCCTTTCAATAATAATTACTGATAAGTGGTAAGAGATTGTAGAAAATGATATAAAAGATATTGTAGAAGAATATATTGACGAGCAAATGTTTTTAAACCTTTTTGTTTCATTTTCAGATGCTTGATATTTTTCAATTTAACATTTTTAAAATGTTATCATATTTATATTTTTTGCTTAACTTGTCTATTGTAACATGTAAAGTCTCTTGAAAAATATTATTGAATGAACAATAAGTTAAATTGTGAATGTGAGCTAACAGAATGATTATTTGTGTAAAATGAATTTCTGATTGTTTGTATTGTTTAGAGGAAAGCCAAATAAAAATGCAAAACCACTTTAAAAACATTCTACAGAAAAATTTTCTGTATGCATGTTCAGAATGTTTACCTAAAAACTTTGTGCCTGTTTGAAAATGAAGCTAAAAAGTTCTACAAATATATCAAAATATTAGATTAAAACAATTAGTAAACATTTTATTAAGTGTGGAGTAACAAATATGGGATTTGAAATTTGTGATTTTAAAAATTGAGGGTTATTGAGCATGGTAAATTCTTTCAGATTTTCACTATAAAAATTCCATTTGTATATTTAAAGTGTTAATTTATCAGTTTTAAATGTTGAATTAATTTTAATGTACTTTGTTTTTTTAATAGATTATGTTTAATCACATACATCTTTAAATAGCAGCAAAAGGTTTATTCGAGTGGAAAAAATTGGTATTCTGTGATCGATTAGTTTTTTTTATATCGGTTATTATTTGTAAAATTGTTTGATATTTTATCTTTAACCTGGTGAAGATTATTAAAAATGATTGAAAACATTAGTTTTTTTTTTCATCTGAATAATCTTTATTCTGCTATTTGAGGTAGGATGTGACCAAATGATATATTGTAGCAATTATTTTTTGAATTATAATAGATTATTCTTTATAGTATTGTGGCCTACCATCTAACAAATAAATTTTACATTTAAAAAGTCATCATAATCTTTCAATCTTGGCACCATGATCAATATATTTTCTGTTATAGAAACAGTAACAGAAAAAACTATGATCTACAATAAAGCAGGTTTGAGGAATTTGGAGAAATAAATTTCCAGTGTCCTAAAAAGACACTTCTAGCTAAAATTGGGATTCACTGAATTATCATGTTCTTTGAATTGTCATTTCAATTAAATGAAGCATAGATAATGTAGATATCTTTATTTTTATATTTGCATTTTATATTGAGAAAAATTAATGAAAATACAGGATAAATAATAATAATAATTGCCTGTTGTAAACGTGACAAGTAATAGTCATTTTAATTCATTTCAAAATTTTTAGATTTTTACTGTAATTATTTATATTTGCAAAGCCAAACAATTGGCAGATTATATCAGGCTATATTAATGCTACTATTGTAAGGAACTAAGTCCGAGCTTTATTTTTATTTTGCTTTTATTATATTTTTGTTTGGGGCTTATGTTTAGTTAGGACGAAGGTTTCCTTACCCATCACCCCAGAACGGTCAAAACGAGAAGATAAGGGATTAACCAACTCACCGACGACGAAACGACAGCGCCATAGCTAGAATTCGCACTCACGTGCACGCCCGAGCGGCAGAATTGTAAGTCCGCACTGAAGGGGGGACACCCCAATAGACTTTTTAGGAACTTATGTAACCTTAAACTAAACATCCCGATAATTGTTAAAGAAATGTTGTAAAAGGTTAACAAAGTATTGTCGAGACATAAGCTACCAGATAACGAAGAGAAAACAAGAATGTTACGCGTAGATATGTAAATGAGGGGAGTGTCTCAAGTTAGAACTGTGACGTCACCTCAGACTATAAGTACAGTAACTCAAATGAAGACAGACGAGGTGAGCTCCTGAACCGAAAGCGTTGGTCTGCTGGTAGCAGTGAACAAGGTGTCGAATAGGAAATCCTAGTAGGAAATTGAAGGTTCGATTTTGACGATAGGAAAAGAGGAAAGTCTTGAGTGGAGGAAAAAGGTTCCGAGTATTAATTGAGGTGACGGTTAGGATCGATAGTTATAAGAGAATTTGTAACTAAGTTAAGATTGAATTTTGTTTTGTCGGAATTCCAAGGGGAATAGTTTCTAAGTTAGAATAAGACTTAAGTTTGTCGGGTTGATTGTGATTTGATTTCTTATTTAATAAATTTGTTGTTTGTTTCTAAAACTTGTACATAGTATTTGTTAGACTTGATTAAACATTTATTATTGAGAGATTTTTTTGTGACTAACTTTGTCTTTACTTTATTTCGGTGCATGCAAAAAGTCCAGGCCTGGCAACTAACAAACGCAAACCCGCGTAAAGTACCCGTTAGGTCCCGGCTCTTTAAGAAAAAATTCGTTGTAGAGCAAAACACTAAATATAGTACTTTACACTGTTAATAATAATTAAACATTAAGTAATTTTGGCCTAGAGGTAGGTATTAGATGCCATCTATTGATAAATGTAATAATTATAATTGAATTAATATTTTAATAATTAATTTAGAAGGTTCTGGAAGAAAAGAATCAGTCCGAAGCAAAATTTGAAACCACAATGCCTGCATCCCTTGTCTTTGCATTTATATCTGTATATTTATGTATAAATTTCTTGTTTATGAAAATACAGTAATTACTTTTTTTTTATTGACATAACAAAATTTACATTTTTTATGTATTTAACTAAGATAATATATTACTGACTAATATTGATTTAAATATAATTAAACATGAAATTACTATTAAAAACAGAAACTCAGATTATTTTTTAATTTTTTTTGCAGTACTATTCTCATAGTCAATTCAGGAATTATAGGATAGTGTGGAAAATACAGCAAAATGGTCCTCCCATTTTATCTAACTATGGCTATCAGGTATTGTATATGGCAAATTATATCAGATTAATAGTTGTTCAATGTATTTATAATATTTTAAATAATATAGCATTCAATATTTTATATATTTTTGTGACAACAACATTACACCTAATTTCTTCTTAAATGAAGTTAAGACTATTTACAAAAATATAAAATTTTTGAGTCTATCTTAATCCTTTTTTACACCACCCCAGAAGTAACAGTCAACATGGGTTTTTTTCTTTTTGAAGAATATACTTCTTAAAAACAAAGGTAAATAAACAGTAAAAAACAATTCACAATGTTAAAAACGATCAAGTGTCAGCCTTCTGTTTTAGGATCTGACACTTTACATTAAAAACATGAAGAATTCTTCTCACCACATTGTCCTTATCCATTTTTAACTGCTTCAGGCCCTCTGGTGGTAGTTACGAGTTATCCTTACTTAATTTGCATATGGATACAATTTCTGTAATTACTCAGGATTTTTAAAAGGATTAAGATAGACTCAAAAATTTTATATTTTTGTAAATAGTCTTAACTTCATTTAAGAAGAAATATAAAAATCCTGAGTAATTACAGAAATTGTATTACACCTAATTGTTTTTACATGGATAATTTTTTACATGAGTTTGATTTAACAGTCTGTTCCTTTTTTTACCTGATTTATTTTAATTAAACACATTTCAATAGATTTGTTTTTTAAAAAATCTTCATTTGATTTTAATTCTAGGAAAAAATAATTACTTCCTTTTCTATATAAAACTGCTCTTTGGAAAAAAATGCTTAGATTAGAATTTGCATTTAAGGCTGCTACTCATGTTCAAGTGAATTTTACGATTTAGCTGTTTTTATGATTTATTTGAATGTGTGTAGTGATAGTATTTTGTTCCAACTTTATCCTGGAACTGAAGAAATAATTACTGTATATTCAAAGTTTGACAATTTGTTTATGATTACATTTCTTCAGATTTCTTTCAATACAGAATAGCTTTTGTATGCAATTTGGTGTTTACTTGGAAAAGTTGATTAAAAAATAAAATTAAAATAATTGAAAATAATATAAATTTATTAAATTTTGCTGATTGTCCCCTTCTGATTTATTAACTAAAATTGAAATATTTTATTTAAACACATCCTATTATATTAATTGGTTTATTGTATTATTTTTACTTGTCTGGAACTATTCTTCCATTCATTCATTTATTTTATTTGAATTGAGTTGAATTTATTTGACATTAAATTAAATTTACATCAAAAGGAGAACAAAAAGAAAAACTATTATAATAGTCTGAATCTTTTAACATGTTAGCAAATTTAAATAAATCTTGAATATAAAATTTGCTGTGTAGCATATTTAAATATTTAATGTACAGTACATATTATTTATGCAACTACAAAGTATATGTAAACCCCATTTGCTATATTTCCACAACTGATTACACAATGTATATGGTATGACTTTTCCTTGATATAACACAATTTAACTTTTTCTTTGCTTTTTGTTTTTTCACTGACATATAAAATCTGCTGTCTTAATATGCCATTCCAAAATTCGTCTTAACAACATTATAATAATTTAACAAAACAGAATTTTTTAACAGTCTCTTTATTTCTTGCAATTCCAGTTTGATACATCTCATCACTATGACTGGTATCTGTCCTCTCCATCTATCAGCTTGTCTCTCCATAACCATTTCACCAAATCCAAGCTGCTCCAATCAACTTTTGAAGTCCATCAACCATGATGTACTATCCACTTTTATCCACCTTTTTTCTATACTAATTCTGGGTAATCTTTCCTCTGATAGCTCCAATATTCTTATATAATACTTTAACACTGCTTTTATAAAGAAAATCTTCAATGGCATTATTCTAGTTTCCATAAAACAGCAGCATTTATTGACTAAATGTCAAACCCAACATTTTCTTCAAAAATTATGAATTAACTCAAAAACACTAACATCCAACAAACCCCAAATTGAGTTTCATACAGCATGACAAATTAAACCATTGTGTCAAACAATCTAAAATGTGGTATGCACAAAGTTAACTGTGCTATATTAAATTATTTAGTAATTTCACCAAAGTACCTTTTACTTTCTTTCTGTTATTTCAAAATGATCCTTCATATTAAGATTATATTTAAAGTATATTTCTAAATACTCAGATTTTTTTACTACAATTTCTTAATCTTATATACAGTATGTACCTTCTTCCCAGGTCTTTCTTACTTATTGTTTGTGGTTTTTGTTACATGATTATTCTTGGCAATTGTATCTTCAAACAACTGACATATTAACTGCTTTCTTTCTATTTCATCAATAATTGATTCCTTAAATTAAAGTTAGAGATTTAATTACAGAAAAATTAAACTCTTCTTTAATTTTTTTATTTTGTGAATGACTAATAATCTGCATAACTTGTCACGGTATCTATTTGAACTATACTTACAAGGGAACTGTCGGAGTGTCTTCTAATAAATTTAAAAAAAAATTAGTTAATAACTAAGTTAAAAGTATACAAACTCTGTTTTAAATTTGTAGCATTCACTAAAAGTGTTGATCAGAGTTATTAGTAATCAAATGTTGCACTACTTTATAATAGTTTAACACAGTTATGCAAATTTTTAGAAGTGAAAGGGTCGCGGAGGAAGACGGCGATATTACATTTAGAATAAATTCTGGAATTTTCAAAAATAGGAGAAGAATTAATAAAATTTAGTTAATAATTATGTTAAAAGTATACAAAATTTTATTAATTCTTCAACCATTTTTGAAAATTCCAGAATTTATTCTAAATGTAATATCGCCATCTTCCTCCGCGACCCTTTCACTTCTTAAAATTTGCATAACTGTGTTAAACTATTATAAAGTAGTGCAACATTTGATTGCTAATAACTCTGATCAATACTTCTAGTGAATGCTACAAATTTAAAACAGAGTTTGTATACTTTTAACTTAGTTATTAACTAAATTTTATTAAAATTTATTAGAAGACACTCCGACAGTTCCCTTGTTAGTTGAATTTTTCATCTCTTTTTGATTCACTATATTTTCGCTTCATAATACATAATACTTCTCGCTATGGTATTACATATTTTCCATTTCATCAGATTCCATTTAGCCTATTAAACTGTTTTTATTTGTTTATTCCTGTTTCCTATTCCCTACTCCTTACTTATCTGTCCTATCTTGAGTTAACAAGAAAATTGATATTTTAAGTGAGGTTTTGTAGAATTTAAGGGCAAAAAATTTAAATGAACTAAAATTTATAATACATTTCTTAGTATTAAATAAATATTACACATTATAATGAAGATTTTTTAAATCAAAGTATTACATTCTCTTGTTGTTGTTAAAAAATGATAAAATTTTTAATTTTTCTAGCCACAGCTACGACAGTTCAGTAGTCGGCCAAATAGAAATTTTATATCACAGTTTGTCGATAATCTTCGCCAAGAATTATCTAAAAACAAAGAAATGAAGGTATTGAAATTTTATATTAATTCTTTTAATTTATTTTATATTAAAAGATTATTTGAATATATTTTATATTCAATAGGAAAGTCTTAAAAAATTTAGAGAAGAAGCAGAAAAGTTAGAGAAATCAGAAGCATTACAAAAAGCCAGGCGGAAATATGTAATTTTAATTTTGTATATATGATATGTATTAATGTAAAAAGTTTAATTATTTGAATGTTTTTATAGGAAGCAATTGAATCAGAAACAACTAAAGGATCACAGCAGATTCTTGAACAGTTTGAAATTATAAAAGGAAAAATTAAAGAGGTAAAATTTTATTTATATAAAATTTTTTATTCAATTTTAGACATTAATTTTTGAATTTTAGTGAAAATAAAAATATATTGATTTCAGAGTTTAGAAGAAGCACAAAAGAGTGAAATTGGAAAGAAAGGTAAAGAATTAACTGAAGAATTAGCTAAATCTGCAAAAACTGCAGCCGAATCATTAGCCAAACAAGGAGAACAAATTGGTAAAAGTACCCCAATTAAAGTTGTATCTGAAGTAAGAAATTTTCACAAGTTTTTAAAATTATAATTAAAAAATTAAAATTTATAAATATTAAAAATTATTGTTAGAGTGTAAAAGCAGTTAAGCAACAAATTGATGAAACTGCATTTACTGGTCCTCGTGTATATAAAGCACCAAGTGAGTCAGTTTGCTATTTTGTTATTTTTGAATGAAATAGAAAAAGTTAAAATTCATATTTGTGACTATAAATATTTGTAAATGTAGGTAAACTACAAAAAAGAACAGAAAGAACTCTAACTTCATCTGGAAAAACTATTCAAGAGAATAAGTTAGTTCTCTGCATGTTAAATGAATTTATTAATTAATTTATTATTTTGAATTAATAACAAACATTTTAATATTTATTTAACAGAGATGCAAGTAGTGTTGTAATGCATAAAGATTCTAAATGGTTTCAGAGTTGGCAGAATTTTAAGGATAATAATCCCTATGTAAATAGTGAGTATTGAAATTAATATAAGAAGTTTTGGTTGCTGTGAAACTGACAATTTGTGATTTTATGTAGAAATGTTTGATTGGAAGATGAAATATGATGAAAGTGATAATCCAGTATTGAGAGCATCTAGAGTGGTGACAGACAAAGTATCTGACATTTTAGGTAGCTTTTATATTTTGTAATAATACAATTAAATTTGTTTCATAATTCGTAAAAATGATTAAAATACACTAGGTGGGCTTTTCCAGAAGACTGAAATGTCTGAAGTTTTAACAGAAATCATAAAAACAGATCCTAATTTTGATAAAGATAAATTTCTAAGAGAGTGTGAAGATGAAATAATTCCAAATATATTAGAGGTATTACAGTTTAAAAAAAAAAACTGATAGAATTATGATATTGTTTACTTATTTTTAAAAATTTTCTGAAACATTTAGGCAATGATTAGAGGTGATTTAGAAATTTTAAAGGATTGGTGTCATGAAGCAGTAAGTACATTTTTGAACTAATAGTTAAGATTTCTATTATTATATTTTGCAGAATGCATTTGTTTTCTTTTAGCCATACAATATTCTTTCTACTCCTATAAAACAAGCACAAGCTTTAGGATATAAATTTGAATCACGAATACTGGATGTTAGTAATGTAGATGTAAGTATTTTATTTTATTTTTTTATAAATTAAAAATACAATATTGGGTTTTAATTAAATTTAAGTAATTAAATATATTTAGAAACTGAATGATATGAAAAATTCAGTGTTGTCTATATTTAGGGATGAAAACAATCTTAATATTTTTTAAAAACATAAAGCATATTCAAAATCAAAAAATTATTATTGTAAAAATTTAGACTAATCAGAAAATTCATCTATATATAACAATGAATATAATTTAACACAATTATACTATAAAATTTATAAATAAATTATTATTATTAATCTTTTAAATAAGCAATTGAAAGATTTAGTATAATTCATTTTGAATTTTGAAGTTTTAAAATTATTATTTTACAAAAAATAATGTGTTATGTCAAAATAATAGACAATATGAAAGTGTAAAAAGTTTCCAACAGCGTGCTTGCATTTTGTTTAATAATTTTTTTCAGAACAAGACTTCATAAATATAGTAGTAGTCTGCAATACAATAATATTTTCACTGATTTTAGTACTTGATTATTACTTATCAACAACATTACTAATTATAGATGAATTAATTATTGTTAGAGTTGGTCCAGAAAGCTAATAATATTCCTGAATACTGTATCAGATTTACAGTGGACTGTATTTTCAACAGTTTGTTTACATTTTTGATATAAAAATATGTATGTTCATGTTTAATCAATGATATAAGGAATATTTTTAATAGATGCAGGTCAACTAAAAAATTTTTAAGATGGAGTTATGTAAAATGTGTCTTACTATATAAATTATAAAGCATTATATAGAGTTTCTGTCCAAAACTTATGCATTGCTTTAAAGATTACTATAAAATAATAGTCACATTAATAAAAGAACACACTAAAATGTCTACTTTATTACAAAAGTAGGACATTCATTATTACAGAGAATGTTTGTTTTTCTAGAACGTTTTAACTGTATCTATCTAGTGTACATTGGATTTCCAATTTGCAAGTGCTTCTTTTCAGCTCTTTTACTTCATTTTTGAGTTTCCTTCTCTCCTGTCTGTCTGCATCTTATTTTTCTAAATGTCTTTCTTCCATACCAGATCTTTTCTCTGCAGTTATTTATAGTTGTCAATCTTTGACATTAGAACATTCAGGACACCATTTTGTGATTTGATAGCATCATGAATACCTCTTTGATGTACAATACTCTCCTTTTCCAATTTCTCAACCAATATAGTTTTGTTAATGCACTGAAGCATTTCCATGTGAAAATACTAAACATACTTTTTATCACCTTTCAGGAGATATTAAAAATTTTTTTTTTTCATTGTTCATAAATCTAGCTTGAAATTTCTTTAGTTTTCTGCTAGTTATAGCAGCTCTAGTGAGCACCACCTCTTTTTCTATGCTACTCTTTCCTATGCTCTTGTCTTTAGTTCCTTATAACTATCTATCGTCATTCATCATTTTAATTCTTCTCCCTCTCCCTCACGTCTTTCTGCCTACAACCATTCCTTCCATAATGTTATTCCATAAGCCTTTCTTCTGAATCATTTGTCCCATCCAATTAGCTTTTGCCCAAGTTTCATCATGAAATTTATCAAACTTAATACTAACAGATTTTTCTGAATTGAATTTTTTGAACTCATCTTCATGCAGATCTTTTCTATTAGCATAAATAATCCATACTGTTCCTTTTTTTTCTCTGCAATAGTATTCTCTATGATTCTGTTAGTGTCATGTAATACTTTTACATATAGAATGATATTGAAATCATTTTTTGAAATCATTGTGGTGAATCATACTTTTCTGATTCACCACAATACACATCTGTTACTCAGTGTACAAACAAACCAGTATTTCAATGGAGATGTCTGCATTATCATCTTTGAGAAAAGTTTGACAAGATATCGTAATCAAGAAAAAAAGGCTAGTTTCTAGTTTTTCATTATCTTTATGCTGATACCTTCATGTTTTTATGCAATAGTTGAAATTAAAAAATTAAGATCTCTAGAAGCTGAATACTGGCACACCAGATAGCACCTGTTAACTTTTCACTTTTACCAAATGTTTTGCATAGAGGTGGGTCAATCAGAATATAAAAATAGGACAAGTAGAAATTGTGAATTTTGAAATTTTTTCAAAAATGCTTCACACTGGCTAATTATTAATTTGAAAATTGCAAGCCTATATATCAACTTTCAATACCTTTTCAAAAAGTTTTGTTCTCTCTTAACTTACCTGCAGATGGAAATAGTTAACCCTGGCAGAAATTATAATTTATCACCATTTTAAGGTAATCATTATTTATAACTATAGCATAAAATTTCTCTGGATCTGTTTTAAGGACTCACCCGAAAGAAGGACCATGTACATTGGGATATTTGCTCTATTTTGCGTAATTTATACCACTTACTCTACAGAGGCCAGCATTTACTGATGGCATGCAATCCACAAGTTCCAATTTCTCTTGTTTAATAAAATTTGAAAGAAACTTTCTGAAGAAATTGGACGAGCATGTAAATATTCAGTTTTTGTCTCTTCATTGATTTGTGAAGAATCTTTGATAAAGGCATACCTAGCTGATAGTTCCTCTAAACATTTTCTACAATACAGGATCTGCTTGAAATAGGAAAAACTTCTGAAATTGCATTTCAGTATTATTGTTAATATTTGCTTTACCTTCATCAGAGGATGCAGAAGATTTCCATAGAAATCAGAGATGAATTAATTTTGAGAAATTTCACATGATTTTCTCTGAGTATAAATGATATAGTCTCAACATAATATGGGGATTATTCAGATTCAACTTGCAATTGAAGTGCAATTGAACTTCAAGTGGGAAGTTCTGTCCCGAATATGTTAGATCTTGCCCTTCACCATTTGGTGCTTCCAGTTTTTGCAAGCCAGGCCAAATCCACAATGGACTCAAAAAAAGGCCTTTGTAGTGTTCGTAAGGCAAGAGGGTTAGAATAAAAGAAAATTAGACTAATTTCCTGTATTAATAAAACATTGTATCTTATTTATAAAGTTTTTAAAAATTCTTGCATTTTGGTATTTTTGAAATCTGCCAGTAATCTTTGTAATTCAAACACAAATTATTTATTGTATGTATACAGACACTTGGCAAATCACAGAATTAAAATTAAAATTCAACTGAATAAAATTTAATTCTGTGATTTGCCAAGTGTCTGTATACATACAATAAATAATTTGTGTTTGAATTAAATTCTTGCATTTGCAAAAGGGATGCTTGACCAATCCAACATTTTTACAAATGTTATCAGTTCAAACCACTGTACAGTTTTTGTGACTCACATTTTTGATACCCATACAATTCATGGAGATAATATAGCAACCTATTCAAATTGATGAATGGCCAATAAATGGAAACAATACATAAAAACATAATAATAATAATAATAATAATAATAATAATAAATTAAATATTTTTTTGATCAGTTGTCAGCTAATGGTTAAATCCAGTCTGAAGACAATACATACTGGAACACTGAAATATAATACAGGTATCCCTTATACAACATGGTACTTCTACTGCACAGTTTGAACATTGGGGATATCCCCTGTACAACACAATTTCCACTTTTGCTGTAATACGGTTTGGGAAATCCTCCAAAGAAAATTTCAAAATTTTTAAGTGTAAATTTCATTGTTTGATATACAGTAGACCTTCCTATAAAACGGGTTCATATAATACGGATTTGTATATAACGGCGAAAAAATTGCGACTGTATTCGTATAAACATGCTAAAAACAAATACGGTAAAACGTCATTGCTGACTCGTGTCGTGACAGGATTGGTCGATATTACACCAATAGCAGATATTGCAAAAACAGTTGAGTTTAAACGAGCAGCGGACCTACTAAAAACCATTTATTATTTAACAGCCATAAAAATTTATATTTATATTTAAAATTTATATTAATGATGTCTCCAAAGTTCAGCAAATTTTTCGCAGAAAAATAATTTATCAGGAAACATGCGCCTGCCGTTCAATGCGCCACTCCACGACGAAAACAAGCTTAAGCAATGGCGTCGTCGAATGGTGCACACTCGGTAAGTAATCCTATAACTTTTTGTTTATAGCATAGTTTATATGGATTATTCCCAAAAAATTATACGTATTTTGGAAATGTTGAGTCAAATTAGTCTAGAATTGATTGATTTTATGGAAGAAAACCTTCAAACAGCCGTAGTCCCTAAACTGCATACAATACTGGCTGTGATTGGCTCATGTATTTAAGTGATTGTAAAATACGAATTTATATAAAATGGAACGTATCTACCATATTATAGGGGGTCTACTGTATATATATATTTTTTTAATCCAAGTAAGCTTGTTTATTAGTTTGCCACAGATTTTTATTTTTTGTCTTTCATCAAGTTTACTTAAAATTCTACTGTCAGTTTTCATTATTCTTTCTTGTCTTAGCTTTCCTATCAGCCAAGTGTTGTTGTTGCTTTCATATTTTATCCCTTAAGAATGTCACTGTGTTTTGTTTTTATAGATTGATCTTTGTATTTAGTACTTGCGATATAAGAAAATTGTGTTAACGCTGAACTCAGTGCTTGTTATCAAGAAGGTATTTAGTAGTTTATTTAAACACTTTAGGTAAGGTTTATTACACTTTTTTTTACTTGTAGGTAAGTAATCATTTGTAAAAATGATGAATGAAATACAGCAGTATCTCAGTACAAAAACAATTTTGTATTCTAGCACAAATTCTGGAAAAAATTTGTTTGGTACTTGACTGAACAAATACAATCCACTAAAACAAATTATTGATTAATCTATATATATATATATAAATGGACATGTATGTCCCTATATTTCACTTTTTCGCCAAAACTACACATCACACGTGAATGGTGTTTGTATGTGGTAGTAGCCCCAAATCTCCATTCGTGCATAGGGGTGGTTGCGACTTGATAGCTATAAGGGTGCGGGAGATATAAGGCCGAAAGTAGTTGAAAGTGGCTTTCTATTTCGAACGTTTTGTTCA